GAGGGAGATCTGACCGAAGCCCCTCTTGAGGACTGCTGGGATAGTGTCAAATCAGTAATTAACAGCGCAGCAGAAGGTGCCATTGGGTTTGTGGAACGGAATCGACGAAACCGATTGGTTTGATGATTTTTAGACGAGAAGAATGCAGCGCGGGTGATGATGCTGCAGCAAGGTACCCGTCAAAATGTGGAGCGATATAAACTCACCTTTTCCGGGATAAGTAGCGTCACCTGGAAGAGGCAGAGTGCGAAGAAATGGAACAGCTGTATCGTTCACTAACGCCTTAATGACACAAAGGCGGAATCGGTACGGCGGACGAAGTACAAGTAACAACTCCCGCGATAAGTGAAGTTAAGGATACTATCAAACAGCTAAAGAACAACAAGGCAGCTGGGAAGGATGGTATCGGAGCGGAACTTATCAAATCGGGTCCGGAAAAGTTGGCAACTTGTCTGCACCGACGACGAGTCAGGATCTGGGATACAGATCAGCTACCGGATATGCCCAATATACAAGAAGGGTGACAAGTTAGAATGTGAGAACTACCGAGCGATCACCATTCTCAACGCAGCCTACAAAGTGCTTTCCCAGATCATCTTCCGCCGTCTATCGCCGCTAGCAAGCAGATTTGTGGGAAGTTATCAAGCCGACGGGCGATCGACAACAGATCAAATCTTCACGTTGCGGCAGAGCCTCCAGAAATGTCGCGAATATCAAGTTCCTACACACCACCTATTCATCGATTTTAAAGCCGCTTACGATACTCTTGACCGTGAAAAGCTATGGAAGATTATGGACGACAACGGTTTTTCCCGGGAAACTGACGAGACTGATTAAGGCTACAATGGAAGGGGTACAGTGCTGCGTGAAGATATCGGGTGCGGTATTCGACCCGTTTGAAACACGCAAAGGACTTTGACAAGGCGATAACCTTTCCTGTCTCCTGTTTAACATTGCGCTAGAAGGTGTTATGAAACGTGCGGGCTTTAACATGCGGGGCACGATCTACAATAAATCTAGCCAGTTCATCTGCCTCGCTGACGACGTGGACATTGTCGGAAGAACGTTTCATGCGGTGGCGGACCAGTACACCAGGCTGAAACGTGAAGCAGAAAAGGTTGGATTGAAGGTGACTACGTTGAAGACAAAGTATCTGTTAGTTGGAGGAACCGAGCACAATAGGGCTCACATTGGCAGAAGTGTGACAATAGACGGAGATGAGTTCGAGGTGGATGGTGGGTGAATTTGTGTACCTCGGATCATTGATGACGTCAAATAACAGCTGCAGTAGAGAAACTCGGAGACGCATTATTGCCGGAAGTCGTGCCTATTACGGACTCTCCACAAGACTCTAAGGTCGTGTAAACTTCATCTCCGCACTATGTACAAGACGCTGATAAGACCGGTAGTACTCTACGGACATGAGACATGGACGATGCTCGAGTAGGACCTGCAAGCACTGGGAGTTTTCGAACGACGCGTGCTTAGAATGAACCATGAATTGGCGCAACTCTATGGTGAACCCAGTATCCAGAAAGTCGCTAAAGCTGGAAGGGTAATGAGCACGTTGTAAGAAAGCCGGATAATAATCCCGCAAAAATGGTGTTAACCTCAAATCGGGCTTTAACAAGACGCAGAGGTGCGCAGCGTGCTAGATGGTTGGACCAAGTGGAGCAAAATCTAGGAAGTGTGGGACGCTCGAGGAATTGGAGCCAAGCAGCCAGGGATCGAGTTAGTTTGCGCAACATTGTTATGCAGGTCAAATCCTGATGGACGTCGGAACAGCAAAAGTAAAGTAAATGATAATTTTATCTTTGAGGTTCAAAAGTTATGAATTTTTGAAAAAAAGTGATCTTTGAAAAATACGATTTTTTGGACCACCCTAATGACAAAATAAAAAAAATACAGGTCTAATATTTTGCGATAAGGAACAAAACTACCAATTTTTACGAAATTCTGAGAACCAACTATATCGTTTTGCTATGGAATGACTGTATAGGGGAAAAGTCGGCTTCGGCAATACCTTAACCTATTATCGTCAGGGGGGTACCTTGGGAGCTCAATTTTGGCATGTGAATACATTGTGTTTCAGAACATCTATTAGCCAAATTTGAATGATCTAGGATTTTGTTTACCCCCCTGACGATAATAGGTTAAGGTATTGCCAAAGCCAACATTTCCCCTACCTAATATGTAGTTTTTATTTTCTCTTCGATGAAAAAGTTATCCCAAAATACGCAGTGAAAATAAAATCACAAATTTTTGCCCAAAATTTAAAAAATAACTTGTTAAACATCTATAACATAGAAAAAAGTACAATTTTAAGAGTAACATTTAAAATGGGCCTATGTCCAACACGTAAACTAATCGGGTTTTGACACCATTTTTTAGCACCGCTTGATAGCTACTAATCCTCTTAGGAAAGTTCCGCATAATCGAGAAAAATCATTAAAAATAACTCGATTTTAGAAGCGGCCGATCAACGAAATTTTTCAATTCATTAATAGGCCCGCACGCTAAAACGGCCAACCATTCATTTATTTCATTTCATTGATAGGCCTTCTGTGTTACCTGACTTATAACGAATATACCACAGACAAACAGACATAACACATTGAAAATTTCTCACTGTAAAACATCGTCGTTAAAACATTACCGCCATCTGTAGAGTACACTGTGGTGGGTAGTACGCTTAACAGATGGCGGTAGTGTGGAAACGTCAAACGCAAGGGAATTGACTATGCGCGCCACAGGTGGCGGTACTTCCAACTAAGATACTTTTAAATTGACCGATAAATGTTTGTTCAATGAACATCTTGCGAGTGTTATGTCTGTTTGTCTGTGAATATACGTTCTATACGAGTACCCCGAATACAACGTCTACCCATAATCGCATATCAGTCCCATCTTTGCTTGATTTCCTATCCATATGGGACTGATATGCGATTATGGGCAGTATAGTTCGGCTAATTTTACATTGCAAATGCTATGCAAAATTAGACGAGTCATACGTTGTATTCGGGGTACTCGTATAGAACGTATATTCGCTATAAGTCAGGTAACACAGTAGTGACGTAGAAGGGCCGATGATTGAAAATTTTCAAACCAAAGCTAGGCCCTACTGCTTGAGGCAGTGCCGATGTTTTGTTTTGAATTTATTTGACGTTGCGAAAAGGCTTGGCAAAGGGCGTACCATTTCTGATGACAAGCACAATGGCTAAACAAAAAGGGCCTATCCATTGAAAGATTCACAAAAAGGCTTATTAATTGTTATCGATTTTCATATATTTTTGAAAGTTGGATGTTGTATATTGAGATACAGTTATTATTGTTATTGTGAACAATATAAATGCCTAAAATACTTCAATTTTCTTAAATAGGAATTGAATAGTGGCGGAAAAATTTATAACTCATTTTCTGGTTTGTTTACGTTTTGGACATAGGCCCATTTCAAATGTTACTCTAGAATTATAACAAGTTTCATTGAATTCTGACTGGAAAAGGAGCCTAATCTGCGCCGCGAGTGAGGTGAGGTGATTCGCTGTCACTAGTGAGGTGACAATAGTCACGTCTTGCGAGGTTATTTTCCAATTTTGATTTGCACGGAGAGTCACCTCACCTCACTCGCGGTGCAGAATATCCCTCAAAATCTAAAAAGTTGTGTTTTTTCCCAATTTGGTCTGGAACTATTCGGCTGAGAAAAACTACACAGAAGCAAACCATACCTCGTCCAGTCCAATCTAGGTGTAACTTTCATTGCTGATAGTAATACTCCAGCAGATTTGCTCTCACCATTCACTGGAAGGAAGGGGAAGATCCAAGCAAAATCAAAAAGCTTATGACCAGGTCGAATGATTTTTCATTCCTTCTCGTCTAGCTCCCATTGGCGTTCTCGCTCGTTGAACTAGCTCTAGCTCAGCTGTCACATTCACATAGCACACAGACGCTATCGTTCAGCTTTCGATCAGTTGACTAATTCATGCGCTATCGTTCAGCTCCCGTCCACACTCTCGTTCAGTACAACCTAGTACAGCTGTCAGCTATTTTTGTGTGGTGAGCGGGTGAGCTACCGTTTTGTTAAAAAGAGCGATCGTTCGCCCGTTCATACTGGTGAACAAGATCTTTAGCTCTGCTTTAGTGCTGCTAATTTCCGTTCGTTTATCTTTTGAGACATTGTGCTTCCCTCGGTAAAGCTATTAATTTTTCAGGACAGTTGATGACTTCGTTATTGACCAATGAGCTTTCTTAGTCTAATACCACCTAGGTGCCGGCTGTTATACGCTGACGGAGCCAAATTGTACAAGATCCATCGCCACCATCACCATCGTACGAAGTTGCAACATGATCTTTTTCTACCATGTTATTCTAATTCCTGTCAAACGTAGAAGAAGTCATGCGCAAGCCATCTTTGCTCCACAGATCAGAACGGAGAAATTTGGTTCTCCAGAAGAATTACCTCCGCTCCTGAAAGAGTGATAAAAGACAACGTAACTTCGTGCACCGCCCAGCTCGTAACCGACAGTATGAGTCAAAATAAACCAGTGCGCGCCATCAATGCACTAAAACGAGTTCAGCAAATAAATCCGACAAACACAAAAACAATAATGTTGACCAAACAATCAACACTACCAATCCATCCGTAAGTGGAAGATTACGTGACTCAGCTGTCTGTCTCCCCGTGTACGTCATGGAATTTTCAGCAAGAGGAATGAGGGATGACTTCAACATAGTAGCACTATTCCTCGGTTTGTCATTGAACTTCATAAAAATCATATCTGAAACAATCTGTCGCAAAATTTCCTCCCCCCAACAACATCGGTACTCGCACTACTTGTCACCGCACACTCTCACCTTCACAAACACACACACTCACACATCGATTCCCATCACCTTCCTCAACACGTTATTCAAGATGGCGGCCATCCTGAATCATAGCTGGGGAAAAAACGATTACAAACGATCGAAATTTTCCCGCACCAGGACGGAAATGCGATTCTCACCTGTGGCAACTTCAGCAGTATTCCGGCGGTCTGAATCAGCTCGCAGCCCAGTATTCGCAAATCGATTTCCGTCTCTCGATCTAAACCGTCCGCTTGCGAGGGCGTCAAATCGAGCTTCGGCTCTGGGAGCAAGCAGTTTTCCAACGTTAGAACGATTTTCCCGTATAAACGTTGCTGCTGCTGGGACTGCGACCCCGACGAGGTGGATCCCGTTTGCTGTGGGGCCTTGGCGGCGGCCGTTTCCGTCGTTGTCATTATCACTGCTGGAGCCAACTTTGCAGTGCTCATCTCCAGATGCACAGAACTCACTTCCGCACTTTTTCCCTACGCTTCAAAAGCTAGCAGCTTTTGCTCGGCACAAACCTTTATCCACCGATTGACTTATCCACCAAATGCATCAATCACAATTTAAGAGTGGAAAACACTAAATTTTCTTGTCACAAAGGACCCTCACTCACGCCGATTGAAAGGAAAAATCGCAAAAACGCACAACCCCGCTACGGCCAGCAAAAGTGAAGTCGCAGACGAATTTTTTTTTGTGTTCGCTTAGTCGTGCCACAGTTGATTATAGATGAGAGTTGGCTTGTCAAGTGAAAATGTCATTCTCATGTGTCATTTTAATTTCTACAGTAGAGGCCTGTTGTTTTGGTGCTCACGATATTTCTAATACCCCGTACAAACTATGGTGTATATACCTCGTACAGACTATCCCTAATAAAAATTGTATGGTTAATTTGCTTAACGACGTGTTCTGGGTATCATCCAAACCATTTGTGGAATAGTTTAATGATTTGGGTTATCGTTCGTTTATGGTTATTTTTTATTAGAGATGGCTTATATCATGTAATATAGGCTGTCTTGCAATGAACACTCATACATCTAGTTTTCACTGGAAATCCTATGTATGAGTGCTCATTGCAAGACAGCCTATATAACGTGATATAGGCTGTAATGTGAACGGGGTAATATATTTACATCCAGCTTTTTACGAGCGCTTAATGGCCGCCACAATCTACACGGAAACGAATTTTGTTCATTTAAATCAAAAATATAAATGTTTATTCTCTAAACATATGAATTATTCAAAGCAAATTGAAAATATGTTTAAAACAAACATATTTACGTTTGAATTAAATTCAAATGCATTTTTATTTCAACAATGTAAAATTCAATCGTATTTGATTATTTATTCAAAAATGTTAATCGTCGTTCCAACGGCAAATCTAGATAAACATTTCAAAAGGTCCTATCTGCCTTGCTCGATTCTCTTCATCGACTTACTCTTTCGTCAATAGCTCAGCTGCAAAACCTTTCCCTGTTGTATTTGACGTTTTAGACGCTAGATAAGAACCTCCTTTATCAAACTATGTGGTAGAATTAGAGCGAAATCTGTTTGCATAGCAGTGGTTATGAAAAGAGAAAGTCGATGGAGAGAATCGATCAAAGCAGATAGGACCATTTGAAATGTTCATCGAGAAATATGTTTGAATTAAAAATATTCGTATTGATTTTTAAGGTCATTTTTGTTGTCATATACGCCAGGAGGATCTATTTTCAACCCGTTGATTTGTATTACCGGTATCACCTCCCTGTGTGCCTGCTCAAAACTGTTCGAGATTATCATAAATGGTGCTCTGTTCGCACGCTGCAAAAATTATATCGATACAGAACAACACGGTTTCTACCCGAAGCGCTCCGTGTCCACGAACCTGGTGCAGTTCACTTCTAACTGTCTGCGATGCATGGATTCAGGATGGCAAGTCGATACTGCGTATATGGATCTAAAAGCTGCATTTGACACGGTGGACCATAATATCCTGCTGGCCAAGCTGGAGATACTTGGCATCTCGTCAACTGCTGTGGATTGGTTCAGATCTTACTTGGTGAATCGCTATGTACATGTCAAGATTGGCGCGTCGGAATCGGATGTTTTCTCAAACAACTCGGAAGTCCCGCAAGGCAGTAACCTAGGACCGCTACTATTTTCGATCTTTTTAAACGATGTCGCCTTGCTGATACCATTAGGATGCCGTGTTTTCTATGCAGACGATACGATAATCTACAAAATTATTAAAAGCCTATCGGACTGCTGGGATCTGCCGCGTTTTCTATGCAGACGATACGAAAATCTACAAAATTATTAAAAGCCTCTCGGACTGCTGGGATCTCCAGAATATGTTAGGTATTTTTGCTGACTGGTGCTCAAGAAATTTGATGAGTCTAAGCATAGAAAAATGTAACATTATTTCATATCACCGAAAAATTGAACCAATCATGTTTGACTATGTTCTCTACGGACGCTGTCTTGCTCGTGTAGAGCACATAAAGGATCTCGGCGTTACCTTGGACTGCAGACTCACTTTCATAATCCACTACAATGACATCATCTCCAGAGCTAATCGACAATTGGGCTTTATTTTCAAAATTGCCGAGTTTCGTGACCCGCTATGTCTCAGGTCACTTTACTGCTCGCTTGTGCGATCCTTATTGGAGTCAAGTTCAGTTGTTTGGTGCCCTTTCCATGCTAGCTGGATCACTAGAATTGAATCCGTTCAACGCAAGTTTGTGAGATATGCTCTTCGTTTCCTCAACTGGCGTGACCCAACGAACTTGTCACCGTACGAGGAGCGTTGCCGTCTCCTGGGAATCGAGCCATTAGAGGTGAGACGGACGGTCGCTCAAGCTATGTTCGCTGGAAAGCTGCTTACAGGTGACATTGACTGCCCAACACTGCTGTCACAACTAAATATGTATGCCCCTGAGAGGTCTCTTCGTCAACGCGACTTTCTGTTTTTGGAATCACGGAGCCGGAATTATACACAACACGAGCCAATTCGAGCAATCAGCCGGCAATTCAACAACTTTTTTTATATGTTCGACTTCAATGTATCAGCTGACGTGTTTCGTCATCGGCTACTTGGCCTTTTCCGTACCGTTGACCGTAACTATTTAGTTTAAGTTTTATTCATTTAGACAGTATTTGTCAGTTGAATTTTTCAATAAACAATAAACTAGAATCGGCAATTCATCGAGTGAATCCGTTTGAATATTGGTACACACAAAGAACAAAAATTGTTGTAATAAAAATAATTCACTTTCAAATTGAAAATTCCTCAAACTTCATAGTTTCAACTAAAAATACTCAGAGGGAGAGATAGGCGGAGAAAACAAAATACAATTCGGCAGCAGGGATTTGTATCTAAATTATCTTGCAACCCTTGCTAAAACGTAGCATTTCAAATGACTTTTACTTTTGATTCGATTCTCACCGCAATATTTTGCTCATTTTTTGGTGCCATTAATTAACCAACTAAGATCAATTAATCAATAGAGCTAGAATATTGCTTTTGTTTCCCAAAACTAGTTGAATTTTAGAAGCACACGAAACATAAAGGTGATTGAATTTCTGTTCGAATGCAATACTCTCAAATTTAAGCTAGTAAGAATAAGAAATCCTCGGAAAAAATCTAATGGTAATGTTCGTTTGGCTCAGATTTTGTCAGTTCATTTGGCTCAAAACATTCTCTCTGCTCATCTCTCCTTCTAGTATTTCTAGTTTCAACAACGAATATTTTCAAAACGAAAGCTATTTTTTGGTTTGAAAGTTTTTCGTTCACTTATGACTCGTAATTTTAAAAGTGAATTTTTTTTTAAATGAAAATTGGTTTACTGTCAAAAATACCGCTAAACACCAACACTTTTGGCAGCACTGAAATTTTGCCGCTAAATTTTAAGATAAAACATGCAAAACAAAACAGAAGCAGCAGCAGTAGTGTCATATCAATCCACTTCCCAAGCATACATTCTGCCCGTCCCTAAAATTGGCTTCCGGTTTTAGATTTCTGTGAATGGTTTTGAAATGACCAGTAAGTGTTTTTTTTTTTTCATATTTTTAAATAACCTTCATAAATGCTTACTACTTTTGCTGTTTACAGTATTACCTCAAAACGCCCCAAAATGAACGTTTCTTGGTTCGCACCATGTGCTGGCCAAAGTTGGCCTGGAACCGTTCATATTATCCCAAGATACCACGATCGAGTGCCGCACCGATTGAACTTTAGCAATCAATTACTGCCAAAATAAATGCGAAGCCCGAGGCCTTTACCGGATTCGTTTCCCAGATTTGACTGTTCCTCGGACTGTACAATGTGCATTATATTTACTGTAGGTGTAATCTATTTTCTCAATGATTTTGAATTATAGACCCTTCAACATGTTCACAGGTTACAAAGATTATCAATCTTAAAGGAAACCAGGGAGCTGGCCTGGAGACTACTGGCAGAGATAAAAGCAATGCTTACAGTGTGCCAAATGCATGATATCTAACGATACAAAACCGTTGATACATACTGTCTTAGTTCATCAGTTCATCACGAGCCATGATTTGATATCATAATAAAAATAGTGAGAAATATTCAATGGGTTATGTCTGTTTGTCAGTGATACACTCTCTGCACACTGTCATAGATCATTGCATACAAAATCAACTCTGTTCAAATCAAAACAAAAATACTAGCTAATGGTACTACTAGGTGGATGATGGCACAAGCTTTTAAGAAATTTCTATTACAGCGAACCATATTATTTGAATTAATTTGTTCGTAGAATGTCGTCTGTCACTTCGTTTGTGGTATAAGGCTGATGTTTTGACAAAAATGTATAAGTGAAACACATGAATAAAATAATTGATTTTCGTTTTGTGTACACAGACCAGGTCAATCCATCGGGTGTGTAATATAACGTTACATCCTAGGGGCAAGACAGGATTCAATCATGAGTAATTTTTGAGCAAATCTTGAGTTACTTTGAGTTACTCGCGTTGCTCAATAATGAATACCGTTGTCAAAATGAAATTTTTTATCGCAGCAACTCAGTTGAACAGGTTTCTCTCCGTATTTACACATTTGTGGTTCTGCTCAAGCAAAAATAAACAACAGAATAGTTCTTGATGATCTAGGAAGAAGAATACGGGTTTTAATAAGGTTACAACTTATTGACGATATAAGTTATAACACTATATCACAGACAAACAGACATAACACATAGAATATTTCTCACTGTAAAACATCGTCGGTGAAACATTACCGCCATCTGTTGAGTACACTGTGGTGGGCACTACGTTGAACAGATGGCAGTAGTGTGTAAACGTCAAACGCAAGGGAATTGACTATGCGCGCCACAGGTGGCGGTGCTACCAACTACGATACTTTTAAATTGTCCGTTAAATGCTTGTTCGATTAACCAATTGCGAGTGTTATGTCTGTTTGTCTGTGACTATATCCTTATCGTGACTACCGAATGTAATAATCATTTCTACACACAAAGAAAAATCGTTAATAAAATTAAAAAAGCATCGGTGAAATTAAAAGTTTGCGTTGGTTCTTTTTGGTAGACAACGGTTAACTTTTAAATCGAAAGTTTGTCAACTGTCATTTTAAAAGTTGCCCGCTCATGACTTTTAAAAGTTTAAACTTTCAAAATAAATTGTTCTACTGTCAAATTAAAAGCGTGGCATGGTTGAAATTAAAAGCGTATTATTTTTAATTCAAAACAAACTTTTGACATGAAAGTACGGTATACTTTAAATGAAAATAATTGTTATTTTTAATCCAACATTGAATATTTTTATTTCAAAAGTAGTATATTCAATAAAGCAACATCCTTTTAATTAAAAATTACAAATTCATTTATTTCTCTATTTTTTATTCAAATTTGATATCATTGTCTGGTTCCGCACTGCATCTTCGTCGGATTGAATAGGCAGTTTTTTTAGACAGCAGGCTGGTATGGATCGACATTTTCCACTTGAGATCCTTGTAGTACTGATTAAGGGCACTTCTCTCGGCGTCCGTCAGCTAAACCTGGTAGGGCCTTCTCTAACATCTTGCACCACTGTAGGCCACGAAATGTCTCCGATAGACAGTTGATGCTCGTGGCCTACTGGCGATTCGCCGCTGCCTGAGGATGCCATTTTCCGCAAGCGTGTTTCTCATCCTACAATTTCAAAAGCAATCAATCAATAAACATTATTTGCTCTACGGAATAGAATTTCAAATTACCGGATTGATTCGCCCGGAAGAGGATCAACGTTCCCCGGATTCCCTTTGTGAGCATTCACTACTAAATTCTCGGCTAAATTAATGATACCTGCGTATAAGCAATAATCATGGGTCAGTGGTTCAATTATGCAAATTATCTGATCTCAAAAATTACTAACGGTTTAATAAAAAATTGCTTTCCCAAACTACAATGTCAAGCAACTGCAACTGAAAGGAAAAAAATCTCTTTTCCGGCCGTATGGCACACTCCGCCAGCGCAAAAGTACATGGGTTCTAATTTGCAAGCAGTTACAGCGTTATAGACCAAATCGAGACACTTTCTAAGACAAGTTAAAAAAAAAAAACTGAAGTTTACGTAGCTCCCGTTTGGCGCGTTTTTTTTTTGTTTGCTCATGCTCAAAACTACCCAGAAATGGGTAGAAATCAACACATGAAAAGTAATTTTGACCGTTAAACAATTTTCAATTTGAAAACCTGCGCTTTTAAAACTACAAGTTAAAATTAAAACAATCACTTTTGAATTAAAAACAACCTTTTTGTATAAAACATTTTCGTAGTAAGAATAACGATTTTTTTGATACTTTTAAATTGAAAGGCTAATATTTTTACCGATACAGTTTTTGTTTTTTGTGTGTATAAATCCATATTATAGTTGATGAATTTCGTTTGATCGATGTTGGAACGTAGACAAAAGTTTTCAGCTTACATCAGTATCTGTACATAAAATAAATTGTTCTACCAAGAGGATTAAACGAGGGTAGGTTTTAACATTCCAGTTTCACGGCAAACAAAGAGTGCTTTATGCATGTACCAACCACAGCGTCCATTGGCTCTTCAATCAGACAATTCAATAGGAGGTGTTTGTTTCAAATCAACTAACTAAGTACTCACGACGGTTAAATATTACATAGCCCTTTATTTATTACAACAAAACATGTAATAAAAGGTTTGTTAAGCTTATCACTAATTTGTATTTGACTTAAACTAGGAACAACGTAATGAATTAAAATGGCGTCGTGGGTCTCCTGACCGTGCAATACTGTAACCTGGTTGAGGTGGACTGATCATTGAACCAGCACGACCGTTTCAGGTAGTTCAGTCCTCCGTCGATACGATGATTTTCTTCGGCTAGTGAGAGTGGGTGAAATCTGTTCATAATGGCTGAGATTAGTGTGTTTGTAAATATGACAGTATGGAAAAATTAAACTTGAGGCTACTTACTTATTTTTTGAGTAAATACGAGTAACTCAGAGTTACTCAATGTAAATATATTAGCTCAGAGTATAGCTGACTTGCCCCTAGATTACATCATTATTTCATACATCAGCTTGAATTACATTGATCGATATTACATTTTTTTTTGTTGTAAAGGAATACTATTTTGCAGAAAACACATCCCTAATAAAAATTGTATGGTTAATTTGCTTAACGACGTGTTCTGGGTATCATCCAAACCATTTGTGGAATAGTTCAATGATTTGGGTTGTCGTTCGTTTATGGTTATTTTTTATTAGGGATATTATCAATATAACCACGCTTATTACTGTTAAATTCATAATAGATTCAGTATAATTGACAATGAATGATAACCAATTTACTATGATTCTGGCAAAACTACTTTGGTTGCTCAAAATGCATATAGTAATTTTGATAGAAATATTAATAAAATTAAATGATTTTGTTTTCTGCAAAAATCTTTGGTGAAAGTATTATTTAATTTAAACCAGCAATTTAGTATTTTTGCCAATGGATTTTGTTTCAGTGTATGCAATGTGTGCCACAGTTGACCGATGCAACTGATGGAGTTTTTTTTTTCTACCGCGTACAACAACAAAAAATACAAAACTCACACGTTGCACATTTGACAGCTGATGAAATCACCTCAGTTCATCTGGCTTGCGGATCGTGCGTTTTTCCTCACGTCTGGGAAACCGGCAAATCAAGTGATTTTTCTACAATAATTTCCCACCCAGTGACACAGGGAATCATGCAGGAACTAACGGAACGAATCCTCCAGTATATCGAAAAACACGGCGACGTCGATACGCTGGATTTGGTCCCTGTTTTTGGCGAAGATCATCAAAAAATTGTCGGAGCTGTGAAAAGTATCGAATCGACGGCAGCGGATGTGATCAACACGACGCAAGCCACCAGGAAAACCTGGGAGCTGACCGACGAGGGTAAGCTAATACTGGCCAATGGGAGTCACGAAGCTGTACTGTTCAATGCCGTTCCGGACGCGGGGATTCCACAAGCTGAGCTGATGAAGACTTCTCCGAATGCAAAGGTTGGATTCAGTAAAGCCATGTCCAATGGTTGGATTATGATGGACAAGTCTGCAGGAGCACCGCTGATTCGGAAGAAGGTCGAGAAGATTGAGGACGTTGTGAAGGAGCATACTAAAGCCGTGATGGAAGGTAGAGATAAAGATATCCCGGATAATGTGAAGAATGAGTACAAGAAGCGGAAGATAATGGCCGAAACGGTTACCAAGAGTTTTGTGCTGTCGAAGGGACCGGAGTTTTCGACGAGTTTGAAGAAGCTGGAAACGGATTTGACCGTGGAAATGTTGGCGAGTGGCATCTGGAAGGATCTCAAGTTCAAGCCGTACAATTTCGATGCCTTGGGTGTTCCTCCGGAGCGTGGCCAGCTGCATCCACTGATGAAAGTTCGTTCCGAATTCCGTTCGATATTCCTGGAGATGGGATTCTCGGAAATGCCGACGAACAATTTTGTTGAATCTAGCTTCTGGAACTTCGACGCACTGTACGTTCCTCAGCAGCATCCGGCTCGTGATGAGCAGGATACGTTTTTCGTTTCGAATCCCAAGTTGAGTAGTAAGTTTCCTCTGCAGTTGCTGGACGCTGTGAAGGATTCGCATGAAAACGGAACGGATGGTTCGATCGGTTATCGGTACAATTGGAAGCTGGAGGAAGCGCAGAAGAATGTCCTGCGGACGCATACCACTGGGGTCAGTGCACGAATGTTGTACAAGATTTCCAACCAATCGGAAGGTTTCAAACCGGTCAAGTGTTTCAGCATTGATAAGGTGTTCCGAAACGAAACCCTGGACGCAACGCATTTGGCCGAATTCCACCAAGTGGAAGGTGTCGTTGCGGATTACGGGTTGACGTTGGGCGATCTCATCGGAACGTTCAATGCATTCTTCAACAAGCTGGGCATTACAGAGCTGGAGTACAAGCCGACGTTCAATCCTTACACCGAACCGTCGATGGAAATTTTCTGCTTCCACCCGGGACTGCAGCGGTGGATCGAGGTGGGAAATTCTGGTGTCTTCCGTCCGGAAATGTTGCGACCGCTGGGCGTTCCGCTGGGTGTTAACGTCATTGCCTGGGGTCTGTCGTTGGAGCGCCCGACGATGATCAAGTACGGTATCAACAACATTCGAGATTTGATCGGACCGAAGGTGGATCTGAAGATGGTGCAGGAAGGACCGATCTGCAGGATGAATCGCTAAGAGGTGGGACGTGTTTGTTATTTTTTTTCCTTTTTCCATGATCTACCGTTTGGTGCGTAAAATATCAAAGTCTGCTAACGAAAATTTGAAAAGAAAGCGTATTCATTTGATGACAGCCTACAAAGATTAGTTCTTTCTCAGAAATAACCTTCAATGCCTTATTAGATTTAATTCCTCTTTATTAGTAATAATAGTCTTACGATAATACACTTTCGAAGAAGCGCTTTGTTAATAAATAGTTCAATTTCTGACTTGATTAGAACAGGGCCTCAGGATGAGTGACAACAACCCTTATACGGATAAAAGCTTAATATAGAATTCAGTAACATGCATATAATTCCCAATCCTTTTAAGAACATGAGGGACATGGCCCATCGACCTTCGTGCTCCTGTGCATCCACATTGCTATCCTAATTGATGAATGAGAATAGCTAGTCATTTGAAATCAGTCTCCTATTTAAGCACTTCGAATTTGAACCCATTCTTGCAGAGCTCTTCAATCATATTAGTCTTGTAGTAAGCAGCTCCCGGTGGAAAGACGCCTCCCCTAAAAAGAAACAATGAAATGTTACAACTTCCTACAATCCGGATGGGAAACGGGATCTTACGTCGAGGGCATCTTGTCACTTTGCTTCAGGATGGTCGTCGCTGACAGTAGCAGTGCAACACAGGTCGCTCCGTAGCCTGGGTTGGTTCCTGTCACCTTGACCTTAAGCTTCTTATTCGGTGGCACCTTGTACTGATCGGACGGTTCCAGCTGTTCTTCATCCCGGTTCCACCCCTCGCCCTTGAAGTACATCGTGAACTCGGTATTCTTCATCGTTTCCTCCGAGGGACCCTCGTGCGACACAAATCCGGCCGAGAACAGGCGTGGGTACTATGTTTGGATGGAATGGTGGATGTCAATTTCGAAATAGGTGGTAAGTTAAAAAGGTTCAACTTACTTTCAACAGCAATTGACGTCCCAGCTTGAAGCGAGTCATAATGCCAAACACGGCAGCAACCAGAATTACAGCGAGCACCTCGAAGAGTGTTCTGTTTGAAATCGAGATCGATAGATCGATATCTTAGATGGCAAAATATATGGCTTTTACTTACGCAAAAGTGACATAGGCCTTCATCTGGACCGGTCGCTTTTTATCGTTGTCGTAGAAGTATCTCTGTGATCGCATCACCACCGATCGATCGGAACCCGGGAACGGCAGACACCAGCGATTGTTCGAAATCTTGGCCCTATGCAACAGTGGACGATCCTTCAAGCGGGGCTGGAAGTTGGGCAGTCTTGATTGGAACAGTTGACTTCTTAGTCCGCGCAGCTCGTTCGCATGGGCCAACCCATAGATGGCCGACTCCCACGTACCATAGTGAATGACCGCTCCACCATCCGACCGATTCGACTTCGTCTCCAAAAACGTTTCAACGGAATTTATGGTCCCGTCAAATTCCTTCTCCAGGAACACCGTTCCCAGATCGGCGGGAATACTGTCAAATCCGCAAGCGGACACCACATAGACTCCCTTCTCCTGGGCCTGCTCGTTGTACTGGAGCTGCATCCGTTCCATGTACTGTGGCTCACCGCTGACATCCACGTGGTGCGTACCGGCTTCGATGCAAGCCTTCACCACCGGTTCCCCATAGAATCGATAGGGACCACAGCAGTTGACCACGATCCGACACTGTTCGGCCATTTTCTTAAGCGAATCGGGATCCTTCACATCAGCGATCACGGTTGGCGTTTCCGAAAGATCCTTCTCGGCCTTATTGCCGATCTCATTGAGAACTTTAGCCAGTTTTTCCTTACTCCTACCGGCGACGCCCCATTTAAGGCCGTCCAGTAGTTTGATTCCCTCGTAGATGGTGTACTTGCCGGTGAAACCGGTTGCACCGAATATGATCACGTCTAGCGGGCGCTCGGTGGACATGTTTGCTGATTTTTATTACTCCGCTGTGGGTAGTGGATGGCAAATAAAATGCTGAAAGTGAAAAGAAGTGTTGAGGATGAAGTGGAATGAATCACATAACCGGCTCAGAGGGTGTACAAACACACGATCGATTGTGACATCGAGAAGGCGGATAGAAGAATGAAGAACAAAAGCACATGTAGCTATCTGGTAGAATGTGATCGTGGTATCAGTCTTGTAGAGGCAAGACTTAGGAATGGTTAGAAATCCGTTCTCATTGTAAATGTAGAAGGCGTTATGAACTTTAGGCTTTCACATTTTATACTTTGGATAGATACTGCCCATAATCGCATTTCAGTCCCACACAAATAAACCTGATCGAAGTAATGAACACTTTATTTTTTAAATGTACATTTACATCTCTGCCGCAAGTCGGTCCCATCTGCATTTTTATCAATTCAATGAAATTCATAAGTAAACTTATGAAACATAAAAAAGTTTTATCAAATGGAGCAGACTGGACCAGACATGGCAAATCATTTACATTAATTTCGTGCATTCATTTAAATTCATTTGCCTCTAACTTTTTTTATCAACAGAATTCCATGAAATGATGTATGAAGCTTTTGTAGGTTTTGATATTCCCCCCTATTCTGCGAGTCACGTGACTCTCTCTCACCGTTGAGGTGACAATAGTCACCTCGTGTGAGGTGACTCTCCATATGATTTGCATGGAGAGTCACCTCACACGAGGTGACAATTGTCACCTCATCGGTGAGAGAGAGTCATGTGACTCGCAGAATAAGGGGGATTAGCTACAACCTTTTTTTATAACTCAAATCTGTACATCTTATGCATGATGATTGAGTCTTTGTTTTGCGCTCATGTCTATCAACGCTTGAGAAATCGAATAGGATAGGGGTGCCGGTGGTGTAGTGGTAGGCGTGATTACCTCTCACCCTAGCTGTCCTGGGTTTTAATCCCAATCGGCGCCGCCAGGATGTTCTGAGGCATAACATCAGGGAAGTAAAGCCGTTGATCCCCGGTTCATGAGTAAATGGGTTAATACTCGTCCAGGTGTGGGAGCTGCCTCCATGGCGTCGGTAGCATTGGTGCTCAGCACGGAAAACAAAATCAAGGAAAAAAATCGAATAGGCTAAATGCAAGGGGCAAGAAGGCTGTACTCAGAGTAAATATATTTGCTGCGAGTAAATTTGAGTTTCTCATATTTACTCAAAAATGAACAAAATAGTCTCGTATTTTTCATTATAAGATGTTCTGGAAACAACCACCGTCTGATAGAATGTTTTGTTTAAATATTTTAAATTTAGGGAAAATTTAGCATTTGGCGTCAGATCATCAACTTTAATATAGCATAATGGCCATGAAACGGCAATATTAAGATCCAAGTTAATTGCTTTTGTCCAGGCCAGGGCCTCTTTTGCTTTCTAGGGATTGATCTTCGAAGTTTTTCGTGATGTGGTGGTGTGATTTCAAGACCAAAGAAGTTGGAATTTGACCTAACATTATGAGAAGATTATTTTAGCTCATGAAAATTAATACTCAACCTCTCAAAATCGATGTAAGAGGCTTCTTGTTCTGTTGAATTAGTTTCAAGCACGAGGAAACTCAACATTTCATATTATTTATAATTGAGGTGTACAATGACCAGCAAAATTAAATTTACAAGCTTCCGTAATGGAAGATTGATATAAATCTCCGAGAATATTTTGCTAGAAAAAGTCAGAGTAAGTTCGGAGTTCCTCCGGAGACTGTCATAAATCCTCTTTTCGATTGACTGGAATCCTTCTTGAGCTTGTCTGAAGACTTCTAGGGATTATCCAAAATCCCTGAATCCCACAAAAACTGCCTTTCCATTACCAAAATATCTTCTCGGCTAAGCTTTAGTTTGAAAGCGCACCGCTTAAAATGTTGAAATACGTACTACAAATTTTCAAATGCAATTACGCCCCTTTGAAATGTTGCCACTGAATTATCTTTGCTTGAAAGCATCGGTTTTTACACAACAACCAAGTTGCTATTAGTAAATGTTGTCGAGCAATGCGAGTTACTCAGAGTTACTCAAAATTAACTCCGATTATACTCATGATCGAAAGCTGTCTTGCTCCAAGGCTAAATGCGTAGAAGAGAACCACCTCGAAGTACGATAATCATTGATAAGTCACGCCTATGAAATTCATAAGTGTCTTATGAAATCAAAAATGACCAGGTGACATTATGGAATTTTTAAGTTTGTTTGCCTCAGTATATGGTAACTAAAAACACATTTTTTAACAATGAGCTTAAGAGCAACTCCATAGAACCTTACCCAACTAACATTGCAGGTTTTATCGCGGTTTTATAGCATTCTACAAGTCTAAAACATGGTCTACAGAACCCTCATAAAACCAAAATTGTTACTTGGGTAGTGAGCTGAACGAGCCTGATCCGCTCAGTAAGATGAGCTATTTTGCCCACCTCTAGAATCTATGGTTTCTTCTATGGAACTTGATTTTTCGTCAAGTGAAATATATATAGCAATCAGTAACATATTCATGATGACGACTTGGTACAAAATATTCGATAATTAAACAGATTCAAATGAATTTTAGGCCAATGAAGTTAGCCATGATGAGAAACACCCTCCCCTTAGCTAGTTTTTGCAACTTGTTGCTGGTGAAAGGGCTAAATTTCATGTTTCAAAATGGAGTGTTGGAGACGGAAGGTTTATGGCCAGTGTTGCTGTCTCATAGATAGGTGATAGAATGGCGACATGGACAGGCGATGTGGATTACTAAGCTTTCCCTCTCTGATGAACCACTGCATGAGAAAACCAAAGATCTAGTCTAGCAGTGATAGTATTACACTTGTTACTCCTTTGTTTGAGAGCCACGTCGTAGTACGCTTACTTATAGGCACTGACGTTGGGTGCGATACTGGCGGGTTTTTCCGTAAATCACTCTCAATTATTTTTTTTATACGCAGATAGATTGTGGGTTTGCAAATGGAATTATACCACCGGTTGGAAACTAAATTGGCTCACTATTTGACTAGCCGATTGGTGCCAAGCAAATCGATTAACGTACCCCATTCTAGTCGAAATTCTAGTACTACACTATATTTATTTTGATTCGCTATGAAAGTTGACAGATAAAATGAGGGGTTCGTGGATTTTCCAATGTTTCGAGGGGTAAATCGATTAGCTTGGGACCGAGGGGGGCGACTCTATCTACGCTGCAGGAAAGATTGTGTTGTGCTGTGGCTAGCTGCTCGCACGCTGAGTAGATAGAAAGAAGATTGATGACGATTCTGAAGGTTTCCTGCAAAAAGATGATGCGCGATGCAAGTAGATGCGAGAAATGCAAGAAGATTTTTCGCTAGTGAGATTTTTTGAGCATCTAAAATTGAGATTTAGATATGTCGCCCCCCTCGCTTGGGACCGAAGATAGTACCATAGAGGTAACTCTAAGACTAGTAGGTCCCGAAGAAACGTGCTCAACTTTTTGGCTCAGCTCTGGTACTATCTTCGGTCCCAAGCTAATCGATTCACCCCTCGAAACATAGGAAAATCCACTAACCCCTCGTTTTATCTGTCAAACTTTCATAGCGAATCAAAACAAACATTGTGTAGTACTAGAATTTCAGCTAGAATGGGGAACGTTAATCTATTTGCTTGGGACCAATAGGCTAGTCAAGTAGTAAGCCAATTTAAAATCGTTTATTTCGTATTGATTGTTGATAGTACCACAATCAATACGAAACTAACGATTTTAAATTGGCTCACTACTTCACTAGCCTATTGGTCCCAAGCAAACGATTAAAAATTTCTAGTACCGTAAACGGGGTAACATTGATTATTTTTTAAAGTATATTCTAAATATTTCTTGCAACAAAGAATATTTATCAAATTTTATATTTTTAAAACTAGTACTGAGGATCCAAGAGTTAATTCGTTAGTAATTTGTTTAACGAGAATTAAAGCATTTGCACTTTTTTTAGTTTTGTTACCGAACATCAGTATTTTGATTTGGGGTTAATTTGATAATGCTCGATGAATATAGAAAAAAATGCGTGAAACTCAAACATTTGAGTTCTCTAAATATGAAACTTTGAATGAGTATATAATCAGAAAACATCATAGGCAATAAGATTACAACATTGAATTTGTGATGGCTATATCGGAAATTCATTTCATAAGTGATGGTTTGAGCAACAATCAATACGAAACTAACGATTTTAAATTGGCTCACTACTTGACTAGCCTATTGGTCCCAAGCAAATGATTAACGTATCCCATTCTAGTCGAAATTCTAGTACTACGCAATGATTGTTTTGATTCGCTATGAAAGTTTGACAGATAAAATGAGGGGTTATTGGTTTTTCCTATGTTTCGAGGGGTGAATCGATTAGCTTGGGACCGAAGAGAGTACCAGAGCTGAGCCAAAAAGTTGAGCACGTTATTTCGGGACCTTCTAGTCTTAGAGTTACCTCTATGGTTTGAGTGCTTTTTCAAACAGGCGAAAAATACGAAAATTGTTTTTTAATATGTTTGTAAAATATGTAACACATACTGACACCCTAAGCTACAATATGGAACCATTATTTCTAATTTATAAAAAGCGCAGCGAGTAAATTTAATCCTTATATTATACTATCAAAGTTATCCGTATTATCAAAGATACCCCGTTTTACGGTACTACACAATGTTTGTTTTGATTCGCTATGAAAGTTTGACAGATAAAATTAGGGGTTAGTGGATTTTCCTATGTTTCGAGGGGTGAATCGATTAGCTTGGGCCCGAAAAGAGTTCCAGAGCTGAGCCAAAAAGTTGAGCACGTTTCTTCGGGACCTTCTAGTCTTAGAGTTACCTCTATGATAGTACCATTTTATGTGTCAAACTTTCATAGCGAATCAAAACAAACATAGTGTAGTACTAGAATTTTGACTAGAATGGGGTTCGTTAATCGATTAGCTTGGGACCAATAGCACAAACGAAGTGACAGACGGAGCGGCTCGAAAACTTTGGTGACTAACCTGCTATTTCAATTTTTCAGTGTACCACATGGAACACC